CCTCTACGAATTGAATGATCCAAGAACCAGCGTGCAGTACTTTGAAGAGGCGATCGAGGTCAGCAAAGAGTTCGGGGGACATGCCGCAGTTACACACTGGGAAGATTTTGTTCGAGGAATCAAGGAAAGACGTCGCTTCTCAAACTTCCGGTCCGGTTACTGAGCATGCCAGTCTCCAACATCACTCATGACACAATACAATTTCTAAATGTAATACCACTTACTAGTCATACTTTTTTGCCATCTCACCGTGGATACCGACTGTGACCTACTACGCCGTAACGGACATCGGCTCACCGCTCCATCTAGTTGTTTCGACGATCCTCTTAGCATTGGATAAGTTAGAACAAAGGCACCTCAAAACTTCTATCGCTGGTCATTCGTAGTTCATGGCCCTACCACAAAGGTAGATTTCGCAATCATGGCACGCACTAGTACATAGCTACTGGTTTTCCGAGCGCTGTTCAATATAACTTCGACTAGCTAGTACTCATCTTTCATACACTTATTAGTACTAGAGTCTATGTGCATGAAGATAGTGTTTCGGTGTTGCCTACAAAATCTTGCTGCTACCACTCTTCCTAAAAAGGAAGGAATGTTTTGGCTTATGATCTTGCCGGAAGAACATCGTGCTTTTTCCCTTTCGGAACAGGATACATCGGTTCGATGTCGTCAAATCGAGTACTAGGTCCTGCCAATCATCGACAGCGTTTTATGGAGGGAATCGAGAGCTAGAGCTGAAACAGGGACAGCCAGTTACATACGACAACTACAAGAATATCAGATCTCGATGGGGATCGATCTCACAGTCAGTAATCGATCGCATAGAGCTTGGACAGAATCTGCACTTTCTCCATCGAGATCTGAAGCTTCCACCATTTCTATAGTATATATTTCTCGGCCAAAACCAGATCTTTCTCTGTCACTATCAAATCTTGTTTCCCGGCCAGGAATCGATGCCTTGTTTCTGCTAGTAGTAGCTAGCGAATGCTGGTGGTGTAGCTCCACCAGGCACCTGGCTGAAATAGTTCCAAGAAATGTAATCACGATTTTGCTACTCTCCTTGGAGAAGTACTATTAACAGCTTCATTGCCAGTAATTTTGCAGGAGGTTTAGGATATCTTTTCTTCAGGCCCAGAGGATATTTTCACAGATCTCGATGATAGATCTCCAAGCTAATCGGGGGATAATTCACTCGGGGCGTTTCGAGGGGACGATGAACTTCCCACAGACAGGGAGAGCGCCAAGTTGAACGACATGACTGATCAATAAAACGTGAGGCCAGATTGCTCCTCAACCAAAACAACAGCATCGTCTCTTTACATTGTTGGATGCTTGGTACAGAGTCGAAATAACCACTACTACTACGTACAAGATGACAGACAACATCGAACGACGACGTAGATACGAAGAATGTCAACAGCAAGTGCTGAATTATCAAGGTCAATTTCCGGATGTGCCGACCATGACTTCGGAACAGCTTGTGGAGATTCTGCAAGGCACTGAAAGCAGCAATTTAACGATTGTTGACGTTCGCACAGCCGAAGAACAAGCTGTGAGCAAGATTCCTGGAGCCATACCACTGCACGAATTGCAAATTCAACCCAATCCTAACGATGAGGATCAAATAGCGGTTTATTGTACAGTGGGATATCGTTCCGGGCGCGAAGCACGACGGTTACAAGAAACGCATCCACAATGGAAGGGGAAAATATTCAATTTGGACGGAATTTTGGCATATTCCTTTGTCGAGGGAGCGCCGTCGTTGGTGACGACAACAGCAACAGCAATCACAAGTGGCGATGCAACAACAACAACAACAACAACAACAACATCCAATCCAAAACCCACCAAAAGGATTCATACGTACGGTCCGATCTGGAATTGTGCCAATCCCGACTATGAAGCGGTGTGGTTTCAAAAGACAAGTTTTGTGGGACATGTCTGCCAAACAGTGTGCTGTTCGGTTGGAAGAATGTGTCAGCACTATGCTTCTGTTTGTCGAATCAGCAGATCCAAACGAGAAAGTCGAGATAGTCTTCAATAAATTGCAAGAAATGGCCAACACGACAATTCTTCCAAAAGCAAACACATTTCTCAAAACTAAAATAGAATTTTTTTTTTCATATGTGAGTAATACGCTGCAAGCATAATTGAATTTAATCAAGTATCTGGATTATTATCGTTCGTCATTCCTTGTCGTCACGAAATCGAACATCATTCCACAAATGTGAAAGCTCCTTAAAATGTTTCTTTTTCTTATCGGAAACGGGAACAAGGTCCTCCTGCTGGTGCTTGTCTTGGTTTCTTGAGCAGTCGCAATTCCTTCTAATGATATTCTGTACAGTTTCATGGTTTTTTTTTCACACGTTGCTTCAAGAAAACATCGACAAAGGAACGGGAGTACCTTTGTAAGACGCCATTCGAAAGTAATACTGGTCCTACCAAGTACGACGTGGATTGGTAGGAAAATGGGAAATTGGTATTCTAGCAAAAAAAGGGCAGGAAAGACTTTCCTAGACAAACTGTTGTTTTCTTATGTAACTAACTATGAACATGAGACACCATTCCGTCAATACATTCCATTCTCATCCTCGTTACGTGTTCTAGCGGATGTTGCCTTGACTGCCCCCACCACATCTCGATGACAATCCAAGCAGTAAAGCAACTGCTCTTCGCTAATGACACAAAAAGAGCAAAAGCTGGCGCGACACATATCACAGTGGTGACGACAGGCATTGCACGAGAAGCGATCGCAACAGGAACAGGACGCAGGATTCTTGGCTGCAGCAGCTTTGGGTTCTTCCTCGATGGTCTCCATGGAGGTGGATGCCCGTGGCTTCTTGGAAAAGTAGTTCAAGATTGAATTGGTGGGCATAATGTCATCTACTTGGGGCGTTGCTGGTAGCGAAAAAAAAGTTCGGCAAACATGACAAGGGGCCAAACTATTGTTGCTCTCCCTTGGAGTTGAGGGTATAAAAGGATAATTGTTTGGTGGGAAGCCATCTTCTTCTTGAACAGTAGGAATGGGAATAGAGATATGATGATGGGGTCTCTTCCACCATTCCAAGGTGGGCAAAGATGTGGAGGGAGGAGGAGGACTGTTGCTTGGGATGGAAAAATTCGTTCCATTCTCGGCCACACCCAGGTTGTTCATTCTGTTGTTATCCGTTATCATAAGCGGTGGTGAGCAATTCATAGCGATATCGCCGCCCTGATTGCTGCTTTGCATCGTTAATTCCCCATGATTGTTGCTGTTGTCCCAATTTGAATGGAGAAATGGAGAATCAGTTGGTCCCATCGAGTAAAAAACGGTTCGTTGTCGTTTGCTGGCCGGTTGTGGTTGTGGACTGATGCTCATGTCCACGGTGGAATCCATGTAGTTCCGGTCATACTTTTCTTTTTCAGACACAGTATTTCTGACTGTATGATGCTGCGGAGGTGTGTTAGTAGCCGAAATTGATGGATCAAAATGCGAAAATTGATGCCATGGCCGTTTGTGATTGTTGTTACCGGCCGCACTCCTGCCTCGTTGAAAGTACGAGCCACCTATCTGCCAGGTCGATGACACGCTCCCTTGTTGTTGACGATGCTGCTGCATGTTCGGTAGCGGACACAATGTATTCATTGTCATTTTGTGCAGCTGGAGGACTATGATCGAGTTAGAAAGGATAGGAACTTCTCATGATCATGATGAATGAAAAAAAACGACGTTGTATGAATAGTTTGGGACGAAGCAGTCGCTTCATTGTTTGAGTTCCCGCCAAACTCCCTTCCTTCGTGGCGGCCGTCTTCGTCGATCAGTCCGTCTTCGAGTGTGGCATAGCTTGAACTCCGCGCCATCCCGAAGTTGAAGCTGAATTAGTCTTTCGTGACAGGACTGAAGCACTACCGTACTACCGCTAACGGTTGTTGTACAAATTGTGCCTAGGCTAGTACCTAAGACCGGTTCCATCTCCGACATGGTGCCTGTGGTCACTCTTTTCATACTTAGTTGTCTATTACCCATAGCTACTGAGTCGACAGACAACGGTATTGGAGTGCGATGAAAGGTGGTGAAAATTGAAAATTGGCGGCTCGCCGATAGTCTACTATAAGTCTACAACTTAAGATTTTCATTTTCGTGGAATGAAATACTACGTAGTGCTACTGTAGTACTCGGGATACTTTAGTAGATAGCTACGGAGTGCGCAACTGGCCTGATATGAAGCAGGCCGTTCGGAATCTGACCAAGATAAAAACCAAATTAGAAGCAAACAAGGCTCCTAAACACCTTGTGAGCTGCTGCAATGGTGCACCGAAAACACACCCTGACGCTTCGACTAGTACAACTTTGGACAGCCAGCTAGCTTTTATTCAATAACTCCTGACAAAATGTGTGATTTGAAAGGCAGCATGTTCCTGGCGGAACTTTCCTTCTCCCTTCTCACTAATGACTGTAAACGTTTCATTTCACAATAGTAGTAACACCAACCGTGCACAAGTTGTCAGTCAAAAGAATATGTTGGCAATCAGTCCCAAGTTCTCGAATACAGCCAGCCACAGTCCTTGAAACTGGCAGTCTTGGCTTCTTAGCGACTAGCTAAGAATCGTTTTATAAGCAAGTAGCTTCTCCACAAGGTGCTCGCTCGTACTGCAGCATTGTGGATATTGAGGACACCGCCCAACAACTGGAAAACCGGCAGGTGGGTATCGCGAGACTTGCAATTCTCATTATCAGTAAAATGCGTTCTGTTTGGCTTGCAAAATGAAGATCTTCATAATGTTATACCTTGTATAACACTGCTACTAACAAAATAAACGTTGAACACCTGACATTCTGAATTCTGACCAATCCAGTGAATAATACCTTCTCTACTAGGCGATCCCTCTATCATAGCTCTAGCTAGCTACTCTACTAGTAGAGTATTATAAATTAGTTCTGAAATATAATAAATGCTAAAAATAAAACGTTGATGGAATAATTTTAAAAAAACCAATGTCCAAAATTTTATATTTGTTGCCATCACCTGGAATCGAACCAGGGTTTCCGCAACCACAATGCGGGGTACTAACCACTGTACGATGATAGCTGTTCAGGAGATGACTCGAACTTTTCTATTTATAAACTTTTACAAAAGGAAACACGTTTGATTATACGGAGTAGTACTGATAGTATGTTGCTTACCACGTATCTACCGTCATACGAGTGTCGCGCTAATAAAAATCAACCTAATTACGGCTATCAACTATCGGTACTACCGTCTACCGTACCTAGTTCCGTATCTAAGAAGTTCACTCGCCAGGCCCCTCTGGAGGGATGAGGCAATGCAGGGAGTGACCGCTAGTCACCCCGGGGAGGCGGTGGTAGATGGTATAAAACCTCTTACGGGAGGAGGAAAATTCATCTGGTCGAGGTGGACAAGAAGAGATGTGGGGAGACGCAATTTGTTTCTTTGTTTGTTTGTATATTCTTGTTTCTGTGGTCGTGGTGTGTTGTGGTGTCGTGGCTTTTTGCGGTAGAGTGGTTGTTGTCGCTGATGGTGCGTTTAGTCTAGAGTACTACAGGATCATTCCGGTTTATACAGCAAACTGTAGGAAAACTAGAGCGGAATCATAGCTAAAGTCTTTTCTCGAGGCTACCACGACAGCTGCCATCGATTCCGCATCCGAGATTGAAGTTGGCACTGCCAGCAATTTCACCTTCATAATGCCATTTCAGATGCGAGTGTTTACGTCTTACTTTCACCCACGACTTCAAAGGAAATAAATGCTGACCGTATTTTTTGTCTCATTATGCCTACATTGGCATCCGATATACTGAAGAAAAGCTTGAATATTCCGAAAGATGTTCCTTTCTCGAAGTTGGTCAGTTGCAGTATTAATAGTGCTCGTGGTACAAGAATCCATGGTACGAAGGGACACATTTGTGACGTGGTCTCACTTTTATTTTCCACTCCCTAAAGACTTCAAGGAGTTATGTACAACACAGCAGGCAGGCAATTCATACTTCTTCCAAGGATCTCTCGATTCACATAAAACTCTCTCATTTACCCAAACGGCGTACTTCTTTATCAGTCTTTACGGAGTTAGCACACTCGGAGTAATGATTAACAGTAAGCAAACAGCTCCGATCGTCGAAGTATCCAATACAGCATCCGAGATTGCTCTACGAGTAAAGAGAAAAAGCATCAAGCCCTACCGGACGACGTATGTAGCTGTAAAAGATGTTTCGTAATACCGTAATTGATTGCACTACCGTACTTACGTCGTACTCGGTATTCACAGTCACTTCATTTCTCAGAATGGTATACGTATCATACGCGGTACTCGTCTGTTAATTACTACGTAAAATTCTCTTCTCCGAACTGCAACTTCTATGTTAATAGGGTGTACGATGAACATGTCTCCAATTCGTCCCCTCATCCATCATCCATTTATGCACTTATTATATATTGATTACGACTCGTTTCCCACAAGAGGAGAATAGCTGTAATGTTCTGACGTGGTTACACTTTTTGTCTTAATACTCCGCTCAATCCAGACAATGGCAATCATTTTTCCAAGAAGAATCCTAACGCTCCATCTCATTCTACCGACATATTTATTGTAATTCTACTTTCCGGAGTGCCGTTTTTGTTAATAGAGGGTAATGAAATCTTCAACCGAGATTGTCAGGACACTATTGTGACGTTTGCCGTCTGGCCTACCGAACAAGGGAAATTCGTGGTCGATGAACTCTCTATTTGTACAGTCTCCAGTCACACCGAAATGCCATTTTCATTGTGACGATACTTCAATATGTTGTTTATTGCTTAAAAAGGGCAAGAATTCTTATGAAAGATTACGACTACTTACAGTTAGTAGGTAGGTAGTTTACCATGTGCATCTGAATATTATTTTTGTTTTCTGATTGCTACCGTAGTCGTATGATACACAACAAAACGTCACCAATCGTTGTTATAAATTTCGTTTCAATTGTGAAAAAGTGGGCCCCCTCGAAACACAAATTCTTACCCATCCTCGTCATCAAAACGAAACACCATGTTGGGCTGGATCAATGATTGCATGGAAAAGCTGGTGCTGCACAAATTCGATCTTGCAACTTGGCATGCTATGAAAGAGAAAGCAGGCTTAAGCGATCTCAAGGATGGTGGCTTTCTCAAACTCGAATCATATCCACTCAACACCACCACGGATCTGGTGCAGGCAGCAAGCGACCTATCAGGTCTCACAATACCACAAGTTTACGAGGTAAGTGAATGGCATTTTCAATTTCCGCATTGCATCAAGGTTTAATCTTCTACTCACACGTAGATGTTCACAGGCGTTTGGAGAGTTTTTTGTCCCATACATCATTGATGAAGGATATCATAACCTGTTGTGCTGCCAAGGCAGTACTCTGAGAGATTGGATGTCCAACATCAATGCTATCCACCAACATCTACAAAATACATTCCCAAAGAGTATGACCATGCCAGAGTTTTGGTGTGAAAACAATAGCGATGGATCTTTGCGACTTTTCTACTACTCAGCTCGCGGGAGCTTTCTAGCTCCTTTTGCTGTGGGGCTGGTGAGAGAAGTCGCAAGATTTCAGTTTGACTTGGATATCATCATGACTCAAGTAACCACGCAAGGAGTAGATGGATCGAGATTCACAAGCTGGAATGTTGAAACAAGTGACCCAGAAGACATGCACAAGCTCACCACCAAGGTGGGTGGAAGGGAGGGCCTGAAGAATGATCCTGCAAACTTCCCAATTCCATTGAAGTGCCCCATTACAGGCATGGAGATTAATTTGGATGATGTCCCAGGAATGGTAGTCTCAACAAGTCGAGGGTCCCTCTGTTCAGGCACAACTCAAACTAGTGAAGAAAATTTTCCCACATGGTCCAAAAAAGTTTCACAGGAAGCTGATAGACCAGGGAATTGCACTTACCATCCACAACAAGAAGGGTATGACCAGCTGTCTAGTTGCAGAACTACCATATCAGGAAAAGTTTGGGGGGACTGTCATCTTGACTACGGAAGATCCATGACCATTGCTCATCAAAGCTACGTAGAACGGGGTGGCCTGTCAGCATCTGATGTCAAAACCATCTTTCCATATCATGTTCTTATCGACTCCAACTTTTGCATCCAACAAGTTGGAAAGGAACTTCCTAAAGTACTGGGTGCATCGGAAATCAACCTGTTCAATAATGAGATTGATGACATCTTTGAATTTGTCAAGCCAAAGCCTGCCAAGTGGACTCGAAGTTGGTTGAGAAAGCTTCAAGATCAGGAGTTCATCTTAGAATGTACCCTAAGCTCCATGCCAAATGATAACATGGTCTTCAAGGGAACCTGGATTCCTTCAGCTGGTCCAGATGGAGTGGATGCATTGCTGGTCCTATGTCCCGATGCCAAGAACCTTGATGAGCTTCGAGCAATGAATCTCACCCTCAGCGATCTTCCGGCACATGGAGCATATCGTGATGCTGTTTTTTTACGTGAACATCTGAGTCGCCAAATGAATAATGCCTTGCAAATGGAGAAATTGAGTAAACGGTTGGTAACTGAGAAGATGTTATTAGAATCCTTGCTTCCAATCCATGCCGCAGAAGGGCTGCGTCGAGGCCAAGAGGTGAAGCCCATGATTCATAATTCTGTCACCATGTTCTTCTCTGACATTGTTGGCTTCACCAGCATTTGTAAGGAGATTTCACCATGGCAAGTTATTGACATGCTCAATCAATTGTATGGTATCATGGACTTTTTGGCTGGCAAGTTCAAGCTTTTCAAGGTTGAAACTGTGGGCGATGCATATGTGTGCGCTTCTGGATTGCCTACTAGTGATGAAAACCACGCCATCAATGTTGCCAACTTTGCCATAGCTGTCCAACATTGCTGTCGTAAAGTTGTTTCTCCTATTGACAAGCAACCCATCCATCTACGTATTGGCATTCACAGTGGGGAAGCTGCTTCTGGGATTGTTGGTGTGACTAATCCCAGATATTGTGTCTTTGGTGACACAGTCAACACAACCGCTCGTCACGAGTCTACTGGTGAGCCAGGGCGTGTCCACTGTTCCAGATCTACAATGATGGAACTAAAATCAAAGGCCTCCGGCCAGTTCAAGATCTCTGCTCGTGGAATGGTGGAGATGAAGGGGAAAGGATCTGTTCCCACCTATTGGGTTGATTCCACTGATGAAAACAAATGGACTTGTACAAGGGCCTTGCTCGAACTAGATGAGGTCATTGCAAAGAATGCTTTGCCAGCAAGAAAGTGGGTCCAGAAGAAGACACAACCTTACAGCAACAGAAGGACAATGAAGACATTTCTATTGAATCAGTTCCCACGAATGAACACGAGTCAGTGATAAAATTTTGCACTGTAGCAAATACATCTGACACCGAAGAGACCGATGAGTCAGAGGTATCTGTGTGCACAGAGAGGGACACTCCAAGCTTGAAAAACAAAACTGTTGAATCGTTGAACAAGGCCATGAGTATTCTCAACGACAGTGGACAAGAGGAAAATGTGTCTCCCAGCGTGGCACTGACACGATCAGAGGCTATTGCCCTAGTTGCTCGATCACGAAAACAACGCATCGAACTGGCTATGCAACAGACGCAAGCGATCCTTGCGGCAAAAGTCAAAATTTGAATACAAGAAATGCAAAGAAAGCAAACACCTTAAAAACAGTATATATTGAATATAATCTGAATAATAATCTATTTTATGCCCATCCCAACTACTAGCTACCGCCAAGTTCCGTATCTAAGAAGTTGACTCAGCCGCTGGGTCCCTAGAGGTCAGGCAAATGCAGAGTGTGACTGGAGGTCACTCCAGGGAGATACTGATGGTATAAAACCTCATGGGTGAGGAGGAGGTCAGGTGTGATGAGATATAGCATGATTGTGTGTTTCTTTGTTGGTCGTTAGTTTGTTCGTGTTTCTGTGGTGGCTGTTGATGGTAGTGTGGTTGTTGTTTCTGATATTGGGTTTGGGGCTGTAGCCATGATGAGGCAGAAGTATGTATTCATGGTGTGCGCGGTCATGAGGTTGCCGCTGGTGATGTTGTGCATGGAGGGGTGGTCCTTATCAGA